GTCTATGAAACAATCAGAGATGCTTGCTGTGGTTGAACTTCTGCTAAAACAAGAGAAGAGGCAGTTTGGCATGCTGGTTTTTTTTTTTTTTTTTTTTCTGTTGTTGTTTGTTTATTTATTTATTTTTGGAGACATGGTCTAACTCTGTCATCCAGGCTGGAGTGCAGCAGTGGAAGTAATCTTGGCTTATTGCAACCTCCACCTCCTAGGCTCAGACCATCCCCCGCCTCAGCATCCTGAGTATCTGGGACCACAGGCATTTGTTTGTTTGGAGAGGTGGAATTTCACCATGTTTTCCAGCCTGGTCTCAAACTGCTGGGCTCAAGAGATCTGCCTGTTTTGGCCTCCCAAAGTGCTGTCATTTCAGTGGTGAGGATGAGCCAACAGGAGGAACAATGTATGCACAAGAATTTGCAGAAATCACGGGGAAGGCATCAGCTTATCCTAGCCAGAGAATTAGACTTTAGGGCAAGTTGATCAAATCTCTGAGGGCAGAGAGACCCTGCTAACATTTTCTTTCTTTCTTTCTTTCTTTCTTTCTTTCTTTCTTTCTTTCTTTCTTTCTTTCTTTCTTTCTTTCTTTCTTTCCTTCTTTCCTTCTTTCCTTCTTTCTTTCTTTTCTTTCTTTCCTTCCTTCCTTCCTTCCCCCTTCCTTCCTTCCTCCCTCCCCCCTTTCTTCCTCCCTCCTTCCCCCTTTCCCCTTCCTTCTTCCTTCCCTACCCCTTCCTTCCATCCTCCCTCCCTCCTTCTTTCCTTCCTTTCTCTCTCTCTCTCTTTCTTTCTTTCAGACAGAGTCTTACTCTGTCGCCAAGGTAGAATGCAGTGGCACAATCTCGGCTCACTGCAACCTCCAACTCCCTGGTTCAAGTGATCTTCCTGCCTCAGCCTCCTGGGATACGCCACCATGTCCAGCTAATTTTTGTATTTTTAGTAGAGAAGAGGTTTCACCATGGTGGCCAGGATGGTCTCGATCTCCTGATCTTGTAATCCGCCAGCCTCGGCCTCCCAAAGTGCTAGGATTACAGGCGTGAGCCACTGTGCCCCGCCCCTGCTAACATCTTGATTGCACAAGTAGTTGACCAAAAAGTTCTTAGAGGAAAGGTGAATGAGCCCTTCTATAGGGCGTCTTTACCTGTGCCAAGTGTTGGTACTTAATTTACTGAACTAATGTCCATTGACATCCATTGTGTTCCCGAGACTGCAGCAGGCAAGGGAGATAAAAATCACTATAATATTACTACTACTAAATGTAATACATACACTAAATTACAACATCATGTATTTGTATATATGCATATATATATATATATCATCTGATGTATGTGGTATATACACAAATATACCATGTCTATTATATACATTGTGTGTGTGTGTATATCCAGTGTGTATATGGGCGTGTGTGTCTATTAGTATTAGTAATACTAGCGCTTTTTTATCCAGAAGCTTAGAATCCATCTGGTAGGATGTATAAGACAAGCTTACTAATAATATTGTTGCAAAGAATTATCTAAGTACCTGAGATACGAAGGTACCGTAGAGGCTCAAAGGAAGGAGAAATTACTTCAGACGGAAAAGGACTCACGAACGAGGTGGCTTTTGAGTTAAGCTGGACGAGGAAGTACAAGTCGGGTTTCCACGGGTGGAGGTTTTATATGGGGGCATTTCAAGAGTTTGGGACAGCAAGAGTGAAGAAATCATAAGAGGCACACTGTCGTTGGAGGAAGCGGTGCAGATGTGTTTGGCAGAGCAGAGGGGATGCAGCTTCCTTCTCCTGTTCTTGGCCCCAGGAGTCTGGTCATTAAACGCTCTCTGTTTCTCAGAAGACTTCAACCATGTTGCCAGGCTTTGCCAACATTTAATAGTGGCTGGGCTCATTATTCACTTTGTAGCTGATCTAGACCTGGTCCTCCTACTTTTGACTCATTTCCCTGGTGTCCTGGGATAAGACAAATTCAGCTAAGATTTGTTATCTATGATGCTTAAAGAAGAGAAAGGACCAAAACATGCCCTGAAACACCCATTGCGAGCCTATGATGTTGACTGGTTTCTCCCAAATAAAGTCCTAGCATTCATTCATTCATCAAGTATTTATTGAGTTTGTTATTTGTGTCTGAATGTTCCTAGTTTATACAGAGGGCCATGTATTAACTGCAGCTCACTCTGTCTATAAAGAGTCAAAGTGATTGCCAGACCCTAGGATTCAATGCCCAAGACTGCCAGGGCTTAATTTGTCTCTATTCTTGAGTTTTCAGACATTCTAAGATTATACAGGGACACTTCTCCTGCTTTTCCATATTAAGCAAATAACTCAGACTCACAGAAACTGACATTACTCAAACCAAGCGAAAAGGAAGGCATTTTGTCTCATACGCTACAGACATTCTGCTGGAGAAAATCAGCAGAGTATCAAAGCAGGTCTCCCATCGATCTTTCTTTCTGCCATCTGTACCAAGTGAGCAGTTGTTTCTTCAGGCTTCTTGATGGTGCCAGGATTCAGTATATGTTGCCAAAGACCGCTAATCAAGCTGACGGGTTGAGGACAGAAGGGCAGCTAATTCCTCTTTGGGAAGGTGTACAAAATACTTCTGGCTAGGATACCCCAGTTTCCCACCCAGACTCTTCTGAGCACCAATGGCCTGTCCCTAGAAAGCTTCAAGTTGGACATAGAGCCTTGTTTGTTTCAAGCTGATATCTGGTCTGAGTAGTGAAATCTGCTCAAAGTCCATACCGTTGGAACTGGAGCTTTTGTTTTATGAACTTAGCCAATCTGTGTTCCTGGAAACAATTTCACCCAACACCAAAATGAACAGCCTACTCTGCAACATATGCTTTGCTTCCAAAATCTTCATTATTTTTAAGCATGTCCCTAAGATCCCTCTGATGTGTCCCTTTTTCGAAATCTTTTAGTTGCACAGTAAGCCTTAGTAAATAAACTCTGAAAAATTTCAAGTTGCCATATTTAGATGTAATTTTTTCATTGCTTCTAATATACCTCCTCCTCTATTGCTAAGGTAAGGTTGACCTTGTCATACTTACTTGGCAAGTATGGGCTCTATATTTTATAGATTTCCAAAATGCTTTTCTCCATCCCCACTGAACCCTTGGCCATATTTTCTGAAAGACATTCGTTTGACCATGAGCTTCAAGATGGCAGGCTTTTCTTGCATGAATAAAGGAATAAGCATGAATCAGCCATCATTCAAAACATTTCAATTTAGTGCATTTCAACCCAATTCAATTTTTAATTGTTATAAGCCAGTAAAATCACAGGGAGCTAGCAGAGTGGTCACACTTTTCCTGTTTTCTTTTTTTTTTTTTTTGAGGTGGAGTCTCACTCTCTCACCAGGCTGGAGTGCAGTGGCATGATCTCAGCTCACTGCAACCTCCGCCACCTGCGGGGTTCAAGTGATTCTCCTGTCTCAGCCCCCTGAGTAGCTGGGACTACAGGCACGCACCACCACGCCCAGCTACTTTTTATATTTTTAGTAGAGACGAGGTTTCACCGTGTTGGCCAGGATGGTCTCTATCTCTTGACCTTGTGATCCGCCTGCCTCAGCCTCCCGAAGCGCCGGGATTACAGGCATGAGCCACCGCGCCCGGCCCACACTTTTCTTTGACTTCACGGGTTTTAGGTAGTACCTGTTGGGCAAATTCTACCACAACATTGGCTTGTGGATCACCATTGCTAGCCAAGAATATACACGTCGGGCTACAGGGAAGATAGGCCAGCCTTCAAGCTGAGAACCTTTCCTTCTAGATCAAGGACTTGTTCTTTCATATCAACTTTTTAAACTTAAAGAATTTATAACGCTTTGCAGTTTCTGTGGTGGGAAGGTGAAAGGTGATCTTTTAGAAAGGACAGTTAAATGCCAAGAATGGAAGAACGGTTAGGGAATCCAGTCTTTTCAACGATGAAGGAACATGCAGACATGGATTGCACGTCCCTCTACCCAGTGATGCCACTGCCGCCTACAAGCTCAAGACCAGGCCATTTCACTAATGCTAGGGTAGTGGAGGCCCAAGCAAGCATGACTAACGTTGCACAGGAAAGCTAGGTGTCATTAACAGGCAACCGCAGGAAGGGGCAGGGTGGGGAGAGCTCTTTGACTACGAGAGGAAAAGAGTCAGGAGACAATGTCCCTGGTCAAATGACACCCTGGATACCCTGAGATGTCTCATTTACAATAGATATTTTTGTTTCTGCATATATAAATAGAATTCTTGACTGTGTATTTTTAAAGAGTGTCTGGAACCGGTGCAATTTAAAACACTGTGAGAGCATAAGATGAAGAAACCAAATTCCTTTTGAAAGGCTATACCACAAAAGCCATGAACCCACTGCTTTACGTTGTGCTTAAAAGTCCCAACAAATGGTTATAATGAGTTGTAATAATCTTGACCACACCAATCACCACCACCATAGAAGACCAAACATTCTATATGAAACTCTAGAGAAATACTAGGTCTTTATATCACAAAATCGAATATACTTTTAAAGAGTTTTTATTTCTGCTTTTTCTTGTCCCCAAATCTAAACAAACAAAAAAAGGCCACATGTCTCAGTCATTTTTGTTGGAAACCACTTTACTAGATCTAAGCCTCTCAAATTCACATTTTAGTCCTGGGGCCTCACTTTCTCGTTGTAATTTAAATAGATTTTGAGTTGTAGTTTTCTTTTTTTTTGAGTTGTAGTTTTCTTAATGGAAAGCATACAGTCTGGATAGCCCTTTTGAGTAAGAGGGTGCATCCTGAAATCAGCACCAGGGCAGTAGATTCTTAGGGGCCCAGCTCTCTCCTCCCTTTCCCCTTCTGACTTCCCCTATGGGTTGCAAAGTTTGTTCAGACAACCCGCTCTTGGTTTAACTCGTGACTTTCAATGCTCTTCTTGGCTTATACATGGTTTCGGAGGCATCTCTGAGTATGAGTCTTTGCATACCACTGTCTCTCGATTATTGTTCCAATCTAGGTGTAGAACCAAGGGGAACTCCAGAGACTCTTACCTGATTCCAGTTCAGTCAGTGCAATTCTCATCCAATGGAGGTCCTGGTGTCTTTTTTCCCTGTTATCCTGGGTGTCACTGAAAAAGAGTTTATGGCAAATATGTAATATAACATGTCCAAAACTCTCTCATTGCTTTTTTCTTGCTATTCTCACTTCAATTAATTTAACAGAGATGCCTCAAGCCCACTCATCTGTTGCTTTGAGTTCTTTCTAAAGCACAGTAATTCTTTCCATGGGCAACTCTACTTGCTTTCAACCAAGGAGGTCTAAAAGGCCTCCCTTAAATGAAAGAAGGATGCTGAGCTCCGATCTAAATACCCTGGGCCCCAAGGCAGTGAATTATTAGCAGAATGTCTCAGTGAACTTTCTTGTCTTTGAGTTTCAAAGAAGTACGTTGGGTGTGCGGCAGTTTCTTGAGCATAAAGCTGAAATGATCCGCGATCTCTGGAGCCAACCATGCTCCTGGCATTGCTACAAAATGAGAGTGCTTCTAGCCGCAGAAGACTATTCGATACCACACCGCAGTCCCAGACACAAATGTGGGCAAACCCGGTAAACGTGCACACTTTCCCATTGCATGCAGTGAAAGTCACCTGTATGGAGTTTATTTTGAAATCATTCAATTGGGAAGAAGGCTACTTGTCGACATCTACTTGATGATTTTGCTCACAATCCTCAGATGACACTGGCTGTAGAGCAGTCATTTCATGACCTCACACACAGTGTCCTCCCTACCTCACTCTCGGCAGTAGCCCATGGGCGCACCCTTGTACTCACAGTGGGCTGTTAGCTGTCAAGAGACTGGAGCACGAGGTGGCACTGTAATGATTTAGCCCTCTGAGGGTCATTTATTAAGTTGTTATGGATTGGTGAGATTCCCTACAGACTAGATAACAGCTGGCTACATTGGCCATGGGCTCTAAAACCCAAGGCAGAAAGAGATCAATTCCAAAACCAGATAGTCCATTGGATTGCAGGAGGGTATCCAGTGGATCAGAACTAACCTTTTCCTCCACGTTCCATGGAATAGAAGTCCACAGAAACCTAGTGCAGACCCAAGGTGGTTTCAGAGTCACTAGCAACCCTAGTCAAAATGGACAACTTTGCAGACAAAAATAGACTGAGATGCTTACTCAGAGGCAAAGTCCAAATCTAATTCTCTAAAATAACACATGGAAGAAAAAGAGACCTTTTGTTGATTTTTTTCTTTCAATTTTTCTCTCAAATGTCTCCTATGGAAAGTTTTTGATATGTTTTCTAAACATCTTTTAAATGATTTTTTTTCCCCAGAGGTAATGAAATTATGGGAGATGTTAAATTTTTATCTTCTGACTCACTCTGGTCTTGCCTAAATATATCAAGAATGGACCAGGATTCTAGTTTCAAGAGATAAAGAATGATGCGCTAAAATTCTACAGCCATAAAAAGGTTGGATCCCAACATATTCACTTCTGTTTGTCTCCCAAGCCCTTCTCCACTAGAAAGCAAGATGGTGGCTTCCTCTCTGCAGCGGGTATTGAACATGCATCTTCGAAATCTAGTTGCTGGTACAGGAAGTGGCAGTTTCAGCTCAAGGAAGGGATATTCTTGGGACAAACTGTTTTCCCAGCTGTTCTTTTCCATTCCTTGACTTACTCTATGTTTGGGAGTTTAAAAAGTGCCTGTCTTATGAGGATCATTTATTTTTCCCAAGGATCCAGTATTATGTCAGTTTGGTGTGGTAACGGAAAAACCGTAAAATGCCTGAGAATTTACAGCCACATTAGTCACACTTTTCTTTTTTTTTTTGCAGTACAGCTCAATGACCTCTAGGTGGTGGTAAAGGTTTCAATCAGTTTTCATGACTGGGATGAACAGCTAGTCCTCAAATAATTGCTTTATAGGATTTTAAAGAGTTAATAGACAAGACAAATGAGGTCGACTAATTTTCTTGTGCCTCCAGTATTACCTTTTGTTCTTGATTCTCAGTAAAAGATAGTTTGTATCTAACAAGGAGCTCTAAAAGCCAAGCATGAGATTGAAAACATGGTTTAGGAAATGTTTGTTTTAGTTTAGATCTCTCTTGAAGTTTAGCTGGGGGCCTGTAATCCCAGCACTTCGGGAGACCCAGGCGGGCGGATCACTTGAGGTCAGGAGTTAGAGACCAGCCTGGCCAATGTAGTGAAATCCCGTCTCTACTCAAAGTACAAAAATTGGCCGGGCACGGTGGCTCAAGCCTGTAATCCCAGCACTTTGGGAGGCCGAGGCGGGTGGATCATGAGGTCAAGATATCGAGACCATCCTGGTCAACATGGTGAAACCCCGTCTCTACTAAAGATACAAAAAATTAGCTGGGCATGGTGGCGCATGCCTGTAATCCCAGCTACTCGGGAGGCTGAGGCAGGAGAATTGCCTGAACCCAGGAGGCGTGAGCCGAGATGGCGCCATTGCACTCCAGCCTGGGTAACAAGAGCGAAACTCCGTCTCAAAAAAAAAAGTACAAAAATTAGCTTGGCGGGGTGGTGCATGCATGTAATCCTATCTACTAGGGAGGCCGAGGCAGGAGAATCGCTCGAACTGGGAGGTGGAGGTTGCTATGAGCCAAGATTGCGCCATTGCACTCCAGCCTTCTCAGGCTGGACAGAGTGAGACTCTGTTTCAAAAAAAAAAAAAAAAAAGGCTTTAGGGCAATACACTTCAAAGCAGATTCAAACATCTCTGAGTTTTGTTTACAGTGAATAAAATATAATTTCCTGTTTTAATGGAAAGGTATTTGGTCATCATAACTCCTATTAACTAGGCATCAGTTTTGATGATTAAAGGAAACAGACGGTTCTGAGCTCCAGCCTCGGACAGTGCTGCGATCTCCTCTCCCTTCTAATCCTATCCGCGCTGGACGATGCCCGCGAGTCGCCCACAGACAAAGGTGGAGAGACAGGGGAGTCGGATGAGACCGTCGCTGCGCCCGGGGACCGGGGCTACCAACACAGATGGAATCCCGGAGGAAACTGACGGAGACGCAGATGCGGACTTAAAAGAAGCTGCAGCGGAGGAAAGCGAGCTCAAGAGTCAGGATGTCTCAGATTTAACAGCAGTTGAAAGGGAAGACTCATCATTACTTACTCCTGCAGCCAAAAAACTGAAAATAGATACCAAAGAAAAGAAAGAGAAGAAGCAGAAGGTAGATGAAGATGAGATTCAGAGGATGCAAATCCTGGTTTCTTCTTTTTTTGAAGAGCAGCTGAACTGTTATGAAATGTACCGCCGCTCAGCTTTCCCTAAGGCAGCCATCAAAAGGCTGATCCAGTCCATCACTGACACCTCTGTGTCTCTGAATGTTGATATTGCTATGTCTGGTATTTCCAAGGTTTTCGTCGGGGAGGTGGTAGAGGCAGCACTGGATGTGTGTGAGAAGTGGGGAGAAATGCCACCACTGCAACCCAAAGGTATGAGGGAAGCCGTTAGAAGGTTAAAGTCAAAAGGATGGATCCGTAACTCGAAGCACAAAGAATTCATCTTCTAGGCCAAAGTCTAGAAAGGCCTGTTACTGACAGAAGAAGAATTGGTTCCAGACTTCCTGTGAGACTGTCTGCTGGTGCTTTAGTATCTCAGTCCTCCAAGGATTCCATGATGTTAATGTCTCTAAAATCTGATCATTCGTCACACCTGGAAAGTATGTAGCCTGTTTGATACTTGCCTTGACTAAATTTTGGGACCTCTTGGGGCATTTTGAAGTATTTAACCGTCTTGGCCAGTTGGAAGATGTGTGGGTCATATCTTCCGGACAGGAGAAATGCTTTCAGAGAGAAAACCTTTCCGAGAGTTTTTTTTTTTTTTTTTTAAGATAGGGTCTTGCTGTGTCACCCAGGCTAGAGTGCTGGAGTGCAGCGGCATGACCGCAGCCTTGAATTCCTGGGCTTAAGTGACGCTCCCACCTCAATCTCCCGAGCAGCTAGGACTACAGACACACACTACCGTGTCCAGTTAACTTATTTTTTATTTTTTATGGACATGGGGTCGTGCTTTGTTGCCCAGGCTGGTCATGAACTCTTGGCTTGAAGCAGCCCTCCTGCCTCAGCCTCCTTAAGTGCCAAGAGCTTTACTGGTTTCACATTGAAGCCTAAAGTTGCAAAGACTTAGTTTGTGTCTTACATCTGGTTTTAAGTAGATGAAACAACCAGAAACGTTTATTTGTGATGCTCTGCTATGAAGGACGTGGTACAGGCAGGAATCCTGGAATAACTGGTGCTTGTAAACATTTAAGATTCTCCTGTGGATTTTGGTGAGTGATCATTTAAACTGTTTTCCAACTTGAAAAAAAAAAAAAAAGGAAACAAACATATGGATTAGATTTCCTATAGAACACTTTTTTTTTTTTTTAGTTTAAGAGGAAAAACATGCTTGGGAAGCATCTCTTGGGCTCAAAAAATAAGTTTTGCAAAAAAACGGGTGACAGTAGTAGTTCACAAACATTGTGTTCCAATTTGTTTGTTTGTTTTGTGACTCCTCACTCTGTCGCCCAGGCTGCAGCGCTGAGTTCAATGGCGAGATCTCGGCTCACTGTAACTTCTGCCTCCTGGGTTCAAGCGATTCTCCTGCCTCAGGCTTCCGAGTAGCTGGGATTACAGGTGAGTGCCACCATGCTTGGCTAATTTTTGTATTTTTAGTGGAGACAGGGTGTTCTTAAACTTCAACTTAGAAAAGGAGTGGACATAAGAAACCTTGTCTTTCTGGAGGTCAGTCTCTTCTACTGCATCGATTCCCGGATCCAAGCTCTAAAGATGTCGTGAAGATTATGTTCCACAGATTATTTTTCACAGTCACCTCCTATTTTGGTGTGTTGAGTAACGAGACCCTGAATAACACTTTTCGGTAAGTCTCGAACTATCTGCCTCAGGGGGCCTGGCCCCACACTTTGACTCCCAGGTTTAACCTGCCATTATTATTGGTTGACTTATTTAGGCCACAGCAATAGGTACAGTAATGTGCCACAAAACAGTGATGCGATCAATGAGTGACCGCGTGTGCAAGAGTAGCCCATTGTTAGTAAGCAGGTTCATTCTGCCTGCATGGTGCAGGCCAGTCAATGCGGCCACGGGTTTTTGCAAATGGGAAAAGATATTATTCACAAGGCTTCCGTGCAAGGAGATGGGAAAACAAATCTCAACTCTGCCTCCCTAAAATGGACTTAGGGGTGTCTATGGAATAGAAAATCTGCTAAAGTGTGGGGAAAGCGATTGGTGAGGAGGAAAGGTGAAGCAATCAGGATTTCTGCCCAAGCGAAATCAGGCTGCACGGTTCATCATATAACCCACGTGCAGAAACGGATGGCATTAGCACGATCTAAGGGCGGAAGTTTTGGCCCTCTGCTTTCAAGCTGGACCCACCAGCACGGATCCAGTTGAAGAGCTGGTGGTCTCTTTTGACTTGAACTGGACAAGAGCTGCCCCCTACTTCCCGGAAGCAACTTTAAGCAACCGTTACTTTAGTGACCCACGGTCAGAGCTGTGTATCTACAAGGAAGCTAGTGAGAATTTTAAGGTCAAGTAGAGGTAAGCAATTAAAAGCATGCAAGAAGGTTCAATTTGGTGAGCCTAATCAGGTTAGCCCCCTGTTTAACCATAAGATTATAACAATTTTTGTAGTACCTTTTTTATGTTTATGTTTATTTTATTTTATTTTATTTTACTTTTGTGAGATGGGGTCTGGCTCTGTCACCCAGGCTGGAGTGCAGTGGCACAACCACGGCTCACTGCAGCCTCAACCTCCCAGGCTCCACCAATTCTCCCTCCTCAGCCTCCTAAGTAGCTGGGACCATAGGCACATGTCACTAGGCCTGGCTAATTTGTATTCTTTTTATTTTTTGTAGAGACCGGGTCTTACTATGTTGCCAGGGCTGCTCTCAAATTCCTTGCCTCAAGCAATCCTCCCCTCTCTGCCTCCCAAAATGCAGGGATTACAGGCACAAGCAACCATGTCTGACCCCCTTTTCTGTGTTTAGGTATGTTTCAATACACAAATACCAATATGTTACAATCGCTTGCAGTAGTCAGTTCAGCAGCAAGGTATACACGTAGCCTGGGAGCAGTAGGCTACACCCTGTAGCCTCGGTGTGTAGTAGGCCGTACCATCCAGGTTGGCGTAAGTATACTCCGCGACGGGCACGGACAGAAATTGCCTAATGACACATTTCTCAGAACATATCCCTGTTGTTGACTGACCCATGACTGCATTCATTTTACCCAACTTTATTCTAAAAAACAACAGCTGTAGACAAATTAATTACGTGCATGGCAAGCTATAATTGCTACTAGAGTGGCCAACTTGAATAAGTCATTCCACAGATGTCTGTTAAGCACCCACTATGTGCAAGGCCCTCCACTGAGATATGTCAGCCAGGCTCTGTTTTCTGCAAATAGAACAACTTTTTTTTTTTTTGAGACTGAGTTTCGCTCTTGTTACCCAGACTGGAGTGCAATGGCGCGATCTCAGCTCACTGCAACCTCCGTCTCCTGGGTTCAGGCAATTCTCCTGCCTCAGCCTCCCGAGTAGCTGGGATTACAGGCACGCGCCACCATGCCCAGCTAATTTTTTGACCTCGTGATGCACCTGCCTCGGCCTCCCAAAGTGCTGGGATTACAGGCTTGAGCCACCGCGCCCGACCTAGAACAACTTTTAAAATTGAATCTCTTCCTCTTAACACGCTTCTGCCTTCATCATTTCAGTTTTCTAACTACATCTGCTCAGTATTTGGTAAGGGGCAGCTATAATATTTTCACCTCCTTAACATCAACCTGTTAGCTTAGGTTCCCATTTAGCCTTTAATCTGGTCTTGTGTGTATTCTATTATTTGCTAGTGTATCTATGTTTGCGACTCTGTGCATGTCTGTGTGTGTGTGTGTGTTACACTCAGAAACTGCCTTGCCTTTCTTCAACTCTCTACGCTTGCAGGGGAGGCTCTTAGAATCCCCTTGCTCTTTAAATTGTGGTGGGGCCAGTTTTGAAGATGCAAATGGGAGATTTAGGGACTTAGCGCCTACTTAGCACTTTCTCTTTCTCATATGTTGTATCATGTGTTGTCACAGCAAAGCAGATAACTTCAATGAAAAGATGATCATGAACTTTGGAATCAGCAGACTGGAGCTGGAATCCTGATTATGCTACCTTACTAACCTGTCGACCTTGGGCAAGTTACTTATGGATGTAAGATTCCTCGGCTAAAAACGGCTTCATAACAGCCCAATTTCAGGTTGCTGTCTGAAGGGTTTGGTGGGGCATGATTCATCAGTGCTCAGGAGGCGCTTCATTTTGTTCTTACTCTCTTTTTCTGATGAGGAAAAGTGGAGAACATAAAATAGCTCAATATGTATGTTTTATAAAACTAATCCACGGCTCTAATGAGACTACATAAACTAAATGGGTATATTTCAACCATTATGAATCAACTTTATTGCTACTGGAAATAAATTTAGGTTAAATCTGGTTTCCTGTAGCTGCCTGGGGGAGTTTAACTTCACATATTCACAGTATAAAATGACTTATTCTCAAAAGCTGTTTGGCTGTGTCCTTTGAACAGATGAGCTAACGTATATTTTCCCCAGAGAAAACCAAATATAGATGTTCTGATTCAACCTATAAGATTTAGATGTTGCCATTTACTATATAAAATACGCATTGGCCTAGGAAACTAACTGAAAGCTTATTAAATTGTCTTAAAAATGCCAATAATAGTTTTTCTTTCTCACTCGTCTGTACTTTTGAGTCTCCAAGGAGGTAGACGTGAGTATGAAATCACACCCCAGCATGGGGTGTGGGGTGGGGAATTGGGAGATTTGATCAATCAGGGCAAATATTCAGTTACAAAGGAGGAATACGTTTTTGAGATCTATTGTACAGCATGGTGACCACAGTTAATGATGATGCGTTGTATATTTCAGAATTGCTAAAAGAATGTATTTGAAATGTTCTCACTACAAAAATGACAAGTACCTGAGGCGATGAACGGTAATTGGCTTGATACGATCATCTACATATAATCTACAGTGTATACAATATATCAGAGCTTCATCTTTTACCCTGTAAATATATACAATTATTATTTGTCAATTAAAAATAAAAATTTTAAAAAGGAATTAGTAAACACGGAGGACATTTACTTTGGGGTTCTCCTGTCTTACCTTCTGTACTTTTCTCTTTGCTCCTACATTTCCAGTCCCTTCTTGTCATCCATTAGTTCCCTGATCCCCCATTTCAGAAATCTCTGTAGACCCAGGCATTGTCCAATCTGTAGGTCTATGCCATTAGCTTTTTCCCCTGACAAAACCTGTTACTTATTTCATTTTGACTCTGCCACACTTGGGAAAGCAATGGCAGATTAATTCATCTCATTGACTCATATGCAATTTACTTTATTATTCTTTGGGGGTGGGGGAAGGGAGGAAAGGTTGGGATCTAACATTCTTGAGATGGAGTTTTGCTCTTGTTACCCAGACTGGAGTGCAATGGCGCGATCTCTGCTCACTGCAACCTCCGCCTCCTGGGTTCAGGCAATTCTCCTGCCTCAGCCTCCTGAGTAGCTGGGATTACAGGCATGCACCACCATGCCCAGCTAATTTTTTGAATTTTTTGTAGAGGCGGGGTTTCACCATGTTGACCAGGATGGTCTCGATCTTTTGACCTCATGATCCACCCGCCTCGGCCTCCCAAAGTGCTGGGATTACAGGCGTGAGCCACCGTGCCCAGCATTCTTTATTTTTAATTTTAGTTTACTTTAAGTTCTGGGATACATGTGCAGAACGTGCAGATTTGTTACACAGGTATACATGTGCCATGGTGGTTTGCTGCACCCATCAACCCATCACCTAGATTTTAAGCCCTGCATGTATTAGGTATTTCTCCTAATGCTCTCTGTCCTCTTGCCCCACCCACCCCCGACAGGCTCCGGTGTGTGATATTCCCTTCCCTGTGTCCATGTGTTCTCATTGTTCAACTCCCACTTATGAGTGAGAACATGCGGTGTTTGGTTTTCTGTTCCTGCGTTTGCTGAGAATGAGGGCTTCCAGCTTCATCCATGTCCCTGCAAAGGACACAACCTCATTCTTTTTTGTGGCTGCAGAGTATTCCACGGTGTATATGCCACATTTTCTTTATCTAGTCTGTCACTAATGGGCATTTGGATTGGTACCAAGTCTTTGCTATTGTAAATAGTGCTGCAATAAATACACATGTGCATGTGTCTTTACAGTAGAATGATTTATAATCCTTCGGGTATATACCCAGTAATTGGATTGCTAGATCAAATGGTATTTCTGGTTCTGGGATCTAACGCTCTTAAAGTAGGCCGGTTGTGCCACCTTATTTTATCCTGACAACTGTGTTAGCCCACTCTCACACTACTGTGAAGTTACTACCTAGGACTGGACAATCTATTTAAAAAAGAGGCTTTAATGGGCTCATGGTTCTGCAGGCTGTACAGGAAGCATGGCTGGGGAGGCCTCAGGAAACTTACAATCATGCCAGAAAGTGAAGAGGAAGGAGGCACATCTTATATGGCCAGAACAGGAGAAACAGAGCAAAGGGGAGGTGTCACACACTTTTAAACAATCAGATCTCACAAGAACTCACTATCACGAGACAGCAAGGGAGAAGTCTACCATCGTGTGGGTAGACTCCAAACCACCTCCCAACAGGCCCCTTCAAACACGGGATTACAATTCAACATGAGATTTGAACAGGGACATAAATCCAAACCATATCAACAACCATATGAAGTATATGTTTTAATTTCCTTATTACAGAGGAGAAAACAGATACTTTGAGAAGTTGCCTAAATAAGAAAGTCATAAATGGTGGAAGTAAAATTTGATTCCAGGTTTTTAAGACCCCAGAGCACGTAGACTGTCTACAGCTGTACTAGCAGAGGGGTTTACATTTACCTGAAGGCAAAGCCTGGGCCACAAGGGTCACAGAATCCCCAGTGCAGTGGCAGGCTGTGGTAGGGATCTTACTCCTTATAGAACCAACTCCCTCAAGCCAGCGAGATCTTAGTAGAAACCAATTTATTTCAGTTCCCCCCTCAACCCTGTTTTAATTCAAGATATGTCCTTTGTTTTAGAAATAACACAATGGGGGCAGGTTTCTTGATCTGCTATTGTTTTTCTTTGACTAACCAAGAATATTTAACCCATGGGCAATCCAGTGGAAACACTCAAGACAGAGTAGAGACAAGGGGTGTTGAGAATGGTGGTGAGGAAAGCAAAGTCCCCTGTAGTGCAGCACAGAAGCCTCGGCCTAACAAAAGGCTCCAAGCTGCTCTCAGAAAAGCTGCTCTTTCAGTTGCTACTTAAGGGTCTCAATGGCCAGACTTAGCTTAAGAAGAAAGAAAACTATAACTTTAGGCCAGTACCGAGGCTCACACTTGTAATCCCAGCACTTTGGGAGGCCAAGGTGGGTGGATTGCCTGAGGTCAGGAGTTTGAGACCAGCCTGGCCAACATGGCAAGACTCCATCTCTACCAAAAATACAGAAATTAGCCTGGCATGTTGGCCACACTTGTAACTCTAGCTACTCTGGAGGCTGAGCATAAGAATCACTGAAACCTGGGAGGCAGAGGTTGCAGGGAGTTGAGCTTGCCCCATTGCACTCAAGTCTGGGTGACAGAACGAGACTGTCTCAAAACAAAGAAACACTCTAGAGTTTAAAAAAAAAAAAATGAACTGATAATAGGTTCATAATGGGATAGGGTAAATGAGGGTGTTTGGAAAACAGTACAAATTTTCTGACGGCGATGTCAGAAGCCATGGTCAGAGTGTAGACCATGAATCTGAACCAAACCGCAGACTGAGAAACCCTCAGCCTGTCCTTCTTCACAATGCTCATCTTAAATGACTTTTTAATTAAACCATTTGGGGGTTGGAGGTTGGGGGAGAGTGGGACAAGAAGAGAAAAGAAAAGAAGAGGGGGTGGGGTTATGAAGGAGCCTGCTGTGCCATTTTAGTATCAACATCTCAACTCTGCAGCTTGTTTGTGTTAAGATTCTGTGAAGCAACCCAAACAGATTCATGTGGCAATGAATTAAATGTTTCAACTTTTCTTCCCCTTTTGTTTTTTTTCTTGAGGCTGAACTGATAGCAAGCTGGGGTGGGGTGGGGTGAGTGAGTAAAAATAGACTCCTGGAAAAGCCCAGAAGCCTGTTGTAAACCAGAGGATACTTTGTATCCACAAATGCTGATTGCTGGAGAGGAGGTCTGGGTGTTCATGTTTAACACTCTGGGAAATAAATGGGCTGTGTTGCTGTGACCTGGAATTTACTGCTGTCCTTTCAGCCCTCAAGCCGACTGAGGAGAAACCTGCTGGACTTGCATGTCAGTGGGAAAAAAGTGAAATGCTGTCCAATGCCACAGGGAGTCGCCTTTTCAAAAGAAAGGGAAAATACCCCAACTACTGGTTGGTTGTCCTCCTTGAGTTCCATTTTAACATATTTACTTCACCTTATTCACATTAAAAAGAGACAAAGAATCCCAAAAGCCCTGCAAAAAGTGGAGGGAGAGGGAGGATGTGGTATAGGAGGAGAAAAGGGAAACTTTATAAAGAGATACATAAACCAATTGCAATATGTACATCTTATTTTAATCCACATTGAAATGAAACAAAAATAAATGAGGAAAGAACACAAAGAAAAACATTTTTGAGGCAGTGGGCAAATTTGAACACTGACTAGATGTTTGAACATATCAAGGAATTACTGTTGGGTTGTTACTTGTGATAACAGAATAATAGTTATGTTTTCAGAAAGAGTCTGAATCTTTTAGAGATGCATTGAAAATAGTTCTAGATGAAATGATATAATATCCTGAATTTGCTTCAGAGTAACCCAGGGTGGAAGGGTGGTCAGGGAATGACTGGAAATACACATCCAGTGAGATTGGCCATAAGGAGATAATTGTGCAAGCTGGGGGTTCATTATACTATTCTTTCTCCTTTTGTATGAGAAATATTTTGAGATATCCCATATTAAAAAGTTAAAGAGAAAGCCCCGTGAGATCAGTCTGTGATCTCAAATAGCACAGCTGCCTTGACCTAGAAGCCTGCCATCACTAGGGAAGCATCCCCAAAAGCCTGAAAAAACTTCCTCCTTTTAAATTTGCTTTTGTGTTATCCCCATAAACTCACTGCCTTGGACCCGAAGCAAACCATAAACAGTCCTTTTTTCCATCAATTAAGAGAAAATACGGCAAGAAGGAACTGAGCAGAAGATGAATGTAAATGAAAGGGAAAGAAGGTAAATGAAATGAAACCATGACTAGGGCACTCTATAGCCAAGATGAAGATACTAAATTCACTACACTACACAGCCAGCCATGCGCAGTTGGCTATGCCCAAGCCCCCAGAAGCTGTCTCAACAAGAGCCACTGTTCATGGTATCTAGGCCAGGCCCTTGTGATGTCTGTGTCTTTGGACTGGTGTGCATCAGTACGTCATAAAAATCCAGATAGTTTTGTTGCTGCCTGGTTGAAATAATTCTTTGCAACGGATTTTGTTGTCAGTTTTCGGAACAAGTACTATATATGTAAGAGACTTGCTGGCAGACAGCAAATGTGTCCTTCATGCCTTTGAAATACATCTGAAGCATCGGGCCAGGTCCCTTTTTATAGGATGACATCTTGAGGAAGATTCAGTTACATTTCTGGGTGATGACTCCAGGCTGCTTACAAAGGAGCAAGAGGATTTTATCTCCATGTCAGGCAAGCAGAATAACAAGACAATAAAAGCTCAGCAAAGCCAAGGCTCCTGGGAGATACTGAACTCAAAGACCAGAGTGGAAGAGCTAATGCTAAAGAGAAACCGAGGAGTGTGTTACAACCTGGAGCACCATGGACTGGTGCTAAACACGTTTCGAAGTAGTGTTGTTTCTGTCTTAATTTGCAGGCCTGACCTCCTCAAAATAAAATAGAAAGGTGGAAAGACAGAAAAGCAGAAGAGAAAAGGAGAGACCGCTGTTGACTCTCGAATGCCTATGAGAGGAAGTGAGTATGTCCCGTCTGGGGCCCTGATGCTCTATCTTAGCTTTGCTCCAAATCACATCTCCAGTTCGCTCCACCTACGA